AAGAAACGTCAGGAGGAGAGGCGGGGCTAATGCGGCCGGGCTGAATTAATAGCAATACACTTATTGAGCATTAAATGCATTAAATTGGGATTTAGTGTCATGGGATGAATTTAATATTTAAATATAAAAATAATAATCGCCAGGCGCACCCTGGGCAGCTCCTTAAAGCTTCTTCTTCTCCTAAATTATCTCCCGCATCCATTCTCTCGCCCTCCGTTGTGTGTGTGCAGGTGGTGAAGTTGGGGGACTCCCGGGTCATTGAGACGCTGCTGCAAGCGGGGGCAAATCCAAATGTGCCAGATCCCTCCTGCGGTCTCACCGTGACCCACGATGCCGCTCGTGAAGGATTCGTGGATTCTGTGCGCGTGCTGCTAAAATATGGGGCCGATGTTAACATGGCAGATGAAAGAGGTAGGGAATTAAATGATTTGATTTACTTCTGTTTTGTTTTCTTCTCGCACCTGGTTTTTATTGACCTATAACTCCACATGAAGGTAACCTTCCGCTGCACCTGGCCGCCAGTAAGGGTCACCTGGAGGTTGTCAGGCTGCTCATTGGATACACCGAGAATCGCGGCGTACGCAACAATGACGGACTCACCGCCGAGCAGCTCGCGCGCGGCAACGGCCACACGGACACAGCCACGTTCATCCAAAACCATCAGTGAGTGGACCAAACTGCACCTTACACGAGAAGAGTTTCTGCTCCCAAAATAATATGGGAGGGATTTTTCCTGAGCCCAGTTAAGTCAAAAACACAAAATAAATGAACAAAACAGATGAAGGCTAATTATTTTACATGTCAGTCCAGTGGTTTGTGCTCTGAATATTTTATAGTTTTGTGAGTTTTAAAGCTTCAGGCGTGAGTTTGTTTTTCTTGTTTTGTTAGTTTTTGTAATTCTGACCTTATTGGTTTAATTATGAATTACTTAAAATGACATTAGTGGACAAATTCCAGCTGCTGGAGCATAACAGTGAGATGGTAAAATTATGTCACGTCAATAACACACATAATGGTCTTAATTTTTTTTTTCATCTTTTCAACACTAAAATATACATACTGTCTCTCTGAAAAATAAAAAATAAAAAAACGATAAAATTCAAATAAAATTCAGTTAAATTTAATAATAAATAACACAGGGATGAGTGGTCGTGGATAGAGTGAAACTATTGTTTACTATGTATTTAATAATAATAATAATAATAATAATAATAATAATAATAATGGATTGCATTTATGCTGAAGCACTATAATCTTTCATTTGTTTCTAGAACCTTTGTGAAGCTAAATGAACAGATTACTGTCTGTGGCCCCAACATGTGCTGTGTGTTTAAATCTGTTGCATTTGAGTCATCTTACTTTGCTATTTCATTAACAATTGAAATCCAATTTGTATTCTGTTTTTCTTTAATATTTAGGTGACATTTACAGTCACCTAAGTACAGTTGTGCTTTCACGTGTTTACTAAACAGAAGTTAGGAAGTAAAGCCATAAGATTTACACTACAAAGAGTAGTGCAAGGAGCAATTTTATACTTATTAAACCAGTATGCACCTTTACAGGCTACACAATGAATCTAAGGATAAACAAGCTGCTTTAAATCATAAACATCGTCATAAACTGCTATGCTCATAGATTAATACAGGCAAAGATGTCAAAGCTTTCAGACCAGCCTCAGGAGCTGATACAAACAGATGGGGTACTTTCCAAAGTCACACAACTTACCACAACAGCTACAGAAAGCACCGAGTTACTGTCAACCAAACAATCAACGTGAGCTTGAGCTTGGCCTGATTTTACATGTTAATAGTCAAAGCGTTAAAATCTGTAAATAGACTCTGAGGAAACACACGGAGCTTTCTGAGGCCCGTCCATTGTGTGCCAGAAAACAGCGTTTCTGAATGTAAAGGAAACATAATGCTGCTGTCACCTTTTCTATAAAATTAAAATATTATTTTCCAGTTCACAGATTGAACTGGTTTGTTTGTTTCTTGTGTTTCGTCAGCGAGGCTTTGAACTCTAACAAAGTGCCTCTTTTTGATACTCAGCTCGAAACATTTAACCGAAAGTGAAACTTAAAATCTTTCGCGTGCAGTTTGAAATTAAACGACCGTCTTGTTGTTCAGTTTTCAATAGCAAATAATTACACCGAGCTTGTAATAACCCAGTGGTGATACTGTTGTTTAACTTATTCATTACCGGAATTAGAATTA